GGCTTTTTGTGTTGTTTGGCATCACTCAGAGAGGAGGCCCATCCATACAAATTTGTTGTGTGTGTATTGCCGATGTATGGGTGTATGCATGTTTGTGTGAATTTTACAGATTTCCCTTTCATGGCACGCTATGACAAATAAACAGCCAATTGTTGCTTCTCTAGTTTTAATGGCAAATGTGATTGGTGTCAGGGATGGAAAAGTACAATAGCAAATTGTAAATAAAGGGAAAACCACCTAAATGAGTTTTTTTTTGAACCCTAGAAAGACTAAAGAAGTTTTTATATCTAAAGAGGGCAGTTTTAATGGCAAATTTAATTGGTGTCAGGGATGGAAAAGTAGACTTACAAAATTGTATACAAAGGGAAACCCAACTAAATGAATTTTTTTTTTGGTTAAAAGAGTTTTTATTTATCTGAACCCTATGAAGGCTTAAGAAGGTCCTGTATGTGAAGAGGACAGTTTTAATGGCAACTGTGATTGATGTCAGGGATGGAAAAATAGACTTACAAATTTTATACAAAGGGAAACCCACCAAAATTACTTTTTTTGGGGTAAAAGTGCTTATATTTGTCTGAACCCTGTAAAGACTTGAGAAGGTCTTATATCTGAAGAACACACTTAGAAGTTAAGATTTTATTGCTAAAATAAATAATAAATGTTTTCTAAAGAAAACTGAGCTTTTTCATATTCTCCTATAGAATAAAGATATTTCCACAGTGAGCGTAGAGCTTTCAAATATTTTCTGTACAATTAAAAGCTTTTAAAAGTCATTAATACCCAGTAGAGGACAGCGAAGGTGTGTAACATTCTGCATATCCTATGAAAATATTGATTAGAGAAAATAAAATTTTAAAGTGGTTAATGGAGAAGAGCTTTTAAGAAGAGAAGAGATTTTAAAGGTCTTCGGTAGAGCGAAATATTTTAAAGGTCTTTAATAGATGGAAGAGTTACTGAAGTGAACCTAGATCTTTCAAATATTTTCGGTAGAGTAAAATGCTTTTAAAAATCAGCCTTTGAAGTTGTGTAGCAGTCAGCAGGTCTTATGGAAATATTTAATAGAGACAATAAATTTTTAAAGTCTATCATAGAAAAGACCTTTTAAAAAAGAAGAGATTTTAAAGACCTTCGGAAGAGCAATCTTATCTTTTGAAGGCCTTTAATAGACGGAATAGTCTTAAACGGTTTTCTTTTTTTCTTTTCTTAAAAAGAAGAGATTCCGTAGATGTTTTTCTTCTTAAGATATTCCACAAAGAGAATACAATGTTAGGGCCATCCTTTAAGGAAAGGCCTTTGTAAGACCTTTTTAACATAGAACATATTTTTATGGACTTCCATGGATGGAATTTCTTCTATCATCAGGAATCATGTCAAATATTTTCTAAAGTTTTCCTAAATATACCCTTTAAAGGCCTTCTGTAAGGGAGAGGTCCTCCATAAAGATAATAGAATTGTAGGATGGCCCATTAAGAAGGGGCCTTCCATAACAAGAAGATCTTTTAGAGAACTTTTATGAAGGACTAATGGACTATTTGTAGGCCCTCCAGTTTATGGTTTTCTGTAGAGGGAACAACCCTTAAAGATCTTTATATCAAAAAAAAAAATCTTTGAAATTAAATCTGAAGAGAGGATAGGGCAATGACTGTTTTAGCTTTCAATAGAGATAACAGCTTTTAAAAGTTTTCAACTTTAAAATAGGAAGTATTCTATATTTGGAAACACACTTTTGAAGGTCTTTCATAATAGGATAAATCTTCCCACGGTTCTTTGCAATGAGAAGTGCTTTGGAAGGTCTTGTATAAAAAGATGAACATTTTAAGGTAAGCTTTGAAGAGAACAGAGTTTTTGAAGGCCTTCAATAGACATAACAGCTTTTTAAGTTATTCAATAGGGAAAAGAGCTTTTAGAGGTCTTTTTTATAAATCAGAGTTTTTGACAATTCTTTTTATAAGGTCTCCAACAGAGAATACAGCTTTTATAGGCATTGAATAAAAGGACGAGCTTTTGTGGTCTTTAATGTAGGGAAGAGCCTTAGGATGATATTGAAATCGATATAAGAGCTTTTTTTCTTAAACATAGAGAAGAACTATTTATATTATATAATACAGAAAAGAGCTTTTAGAAGGTCTTCAATAGACATAACAGCTTTTTAACTTATTCAATGAGAATAAGAACTTTTAGAGGTCCTTTTTAGAAAGTATAGCTTTTTACTATTCTTTTTATAGAGAAAAAAATCTTTCCAAGGTCTCCAACAGAGAGGAGAGATTTTATTGGTATTGAATATAAAGACGAGAAGAGAAGAAACTTTCGGTGATATTTTAACAGAGAGGGTTTGTTAAAATCAGAGCTTTTGACTATTCTTTTTATAGAGAAAAGGACTTTCAAATGACTTTCAATGGACTTTTTTGGGCATTATGTTGAGAGAAGCTTTAGTGGTCTTTAATGCAGATAAATGCCTTTTTGAATTATTTTCATCGGGTGAATAGCTGTTGGGTGTCCTCAACAGAATGAAAAGAACTTTTTTAGTTATTTTATACAGATAAGAGCTTTCGAAGATTTTCAAGAGATAAAGGCGCTTTTGTTTTTTCTTTAGGAAACCAAGCTTTGGAAAATATTTTATAGACAAAGGAGCTATATGGAAACGTTTGAAAGCTTTTAGGGAAAAACTATTATAGGCATTGAATATAAAAATGAGTTTTTGTGTTATTTAATAGAGAGAAAAGTCCTTGGAAGACATTTCAATCGAGTGAAGAGCTTTTGAAGGTCTTCAATAGGCAGAAAAGCTTTTGAGGGATTTTCATAGGAAGAACAGCTTTTAGAGGTCTTCTTTAGGAAGCCAAGCATTTGAGTATATTTTCTAGTGAAAAGAGTATTCCAAGTTATTCAATAGAGAAAATAACTTTTAAGGCTCTTCTCTTTAAGGCTAGTGAAGAGAGGAGATTTTGAGGTATTTTAGGAGAGAATAGCACTTGTACGATATTTTAATCGAGCGAAGAGCTTTCTTAATGTCTTGAACAGATAGACGAGTTTTTAAGTGAGTCTGTTTTAGGGAGCAGAGAATTTGAATAGAGAAATAAAACTTTCGAAAGTTCGCGATAAAGGGAAGAACGTTTAAAGCCCTTCATTTTAGAGAAGAGCTTGTTGGTCTTGTATAGGAAAGAATATAGAAAAACTTCTAAAGGACTTTAATGTCCAATGGAGAGCAAATAATTTTAAGGTCTTACATAGGAAGCAAAGCTTACGAAAAAGAAGCTTTTGAAGGTATGTAACAGATTAAAGATCTTTCAAAGTTTGCATTTTTTGGAAGTCCTTTCCATAAATGAGACCTTCATTGGGCTTTCCACAGACAGGAGGTATACTATAGGTCTTTCACAGACCAAAAATATTTTAAATTTTGTATAAGTCTGCTATAATTAGAAAAGCTTATAGTGACCTTTTTGCCGGGGTTCAAGGCTTTAATACACCCTCCACAATATATTCGCGATAATATTCGGCATTTATTCTGATGCCACGGTCGATTAATACGAGCAGAGTGGAGAGCGATCATCGGCCGTTATGGCGGCCCACACCATCATCATGGTCGGCGCTTGAGTTCTGGTGGCCAACCGAAGGTGCACATTCTCAGCTGACCTCTTTGGCAAGTAAACAAGATCATTTTGTTTGTTTACAAACTGCTGGACAACAAATGTTTTCTCATTGGAGAAAACCAAATTCGGGAATTCACCACCACCAAATTCGGCCAAGCGAAGCAACCCTTTAGCTCTTTTGAGTCTATTTTCTTTCTGCTGCGGTGCGGTGTAAGTTCTTGCACTTTTTGGAATTTCAATGGCTCATTTTTCAATATTTGCCGAATGGAATAATGCGATATGTTCAGCTCACGAGCCATTTTTCGGCCATTGCGACGCAGGGTTCGATCAAGTCGCTTCTTTAATTTTTGAACCATTTCTGCTGATGTTGCTGATTTCTTCGGTCCACTTCCACTTCCTTGACGTCGGGCTACGCTACCAGGATCACGGTAACGAGCGATGGTACGAGTCACAAAAGATTTATTCACATTTAAATGCTGGAGTGCTCTAACGATAGTCACTTGTGGTTTTCCAGCCAAGTCTAATGAAATCATACTATCACGCTTGAGTTATTCCATCACGAATAACTTTTTTTCTGGAAAAATCTCACCAAAATGCTTTTTCGTACGCTTGTAAATAATATAATGAGCTATCACCGGAATAATTTTAACAGCTGTCGGACTGGTGGTTTAGAAAAGACAGCAGTCTGAAGTTGGTTACAGTTTTTTTCATCTCGCCCTGTATGGCATAAATATATTATATAGTATTATATTGTATATAGTTTATTTTTGCTCTGTTCCGGAAATACAAGAATGTACAACATTTTACGACGATAACCGATTTTTTCTTTCAGATATCAAAAAAAAAAATGCAAAATTAGTGGTATTTTGCAGTTCCTGGAACAGCCCAATTGTATGGGCTATTTTTTTAAATAATTAAGTTGTAGAGAGCTCTTAAAAGTATGCTATAAAAGTGATAAATATAAATGTCAAAAATTTCCTTTACATATGACTCCAACATAATATGTAGCTAACATTAGGGAAATGTATCTTGTTTCGGTCTTTCATAAATACAAACATGATTTTCCATCCCTGCATTAAATTTGTGTCCGTGTGTGTGTGAGCTGTGTGTGATGTTTATCTTTTTACCTTGCCCACTGCCACCAGTACTGTGGGAGTCAACTGTTAGACAATACACACACACACATACATACCAGCATATCCCATTTGGTGTGTGTGTGTGTGCTCAGTGTTGTTGTGCATTCTCAATGGCTCTGCATGCCATCTGTGGTACATTTTGTTCGGCGTATTTAACATCGTGTCGTGGTTGATCTTCAACTCAGTTGTTGCATATCTTTTGGCGTGTTAACACACCACACTAAAGGCTAAAAAGAGGCCACAAAAAAACAATAATTTAAAAAATAATAATTTTTGATTTTATTTTGAGAAAAAAAGTTAAAACAAAAAATACCGTTACAAGAAAATAAAAAAACTATCAAATAAATTAATTATTACCCGCGAAGTGGTTTTGCATTACATTTTTCATTGGTTGTGCGACAGAAAAAACGAAATTCTCTCGCTGTGTGTTTTTATTTAAAAACGAAATAACTGCAGTAAATTATGCAAACATTATTTTATTAACAATAGTATTATTTTAAATAGTTAATTTTTGTGGAATTATTGATTTCAGTGCGAGAGTGTGTGTGCGTGAGTGAATTTTTTGCGATTGTAACAATAATAAAAGCAGTATTATTCTATTGTGCCAACAAGGTATGTTTATATAAATTTTTGCATACTTTTAGGAGGAAAATAAATATATGTATTAAATACAATATATTATAGGCGTTTAAATTAGAGTGTAATTTGCTGGAAATAGAGGACAATTTACTCTGTGCATATTAATGATAAATTAAATATTGGTTTAATTCCACTTTACTGAATTCAAAAACAATTATATGGAATTTAAACGTTTCATTGTGTTTCTTTTGCATTTTTCAAATTATAAAAATAAAATAAACATTTTCAAGTTATTGGCGATATTTTGAAAAACAATTGGAACTTAATTTAATATTTTATGGGTTTATATTTAATATTTATTTAATAAAATGTAATTTTTCCAGCACAAATAATAATTTCCATCAAAATTTTAATACAACTACGGCAAAATTGATATAGCTCTTTCTTTTTATACCCTCCACCATAGTATGGAGGTTATATAATGTTTGTCATTCTGTTTGAAACATCTCGAAATTTACATTTTAAACAACACAAAACAAATATTTTCTTGATCAGCATAAAATTCTTTCCGATTTAACAATGTCCATCCGTCTGTGGCTTCTAACTTCCGAACGAAATGAAGTAGGTTGATAAAATTTTACTCAAATGTGTATTATGTCTGCAGGACTTTTGGTATTGAAAATGGCCCATGTAGGTCCACGTTTTAGTATAGCCCCCCATATGACGGTACCTCCCGATATGTGGTATTTTGATGATTTTAGCGACATTATTCAACGGAATTGTTTCAAATTTGGTATTCGAAGTTCATAATGGATACTACAGCATATGACAGAAAATTGTCTGTGAAGGTCCACGTCTTCGTATAGCCCCCATATAACGGAACCCCCGATATTCGGAATTTTGATGATTTTAGCAACATTATTTACCAGAATTATTTCAAATTTTGTATTTGAAGTTCATAATGGATACTACAGCCTATGACAGAAAATTGTCTTTGTAGGTCCACGTTTTATAACCACCATGGTACCTCCAAATATTCGGTATTTTTATGATTTTAGCGACTTTATAAACAGATTTTTTCAAGTTTCGCATTTGAATATTGTAATAGCTTGTGACAAATGTTACCTATGCAGGTCCACGTAGTCGTATAGACCCTAATATAAGGCAATATTCGGTATTTTTAAGATTTTAACAGAATTTTTAACGGATTTTATTTTTTTGAAAATTGTTAAATTTTTACCAAATGGTGGAGAGTATTCAAAGTTCGGCCCAGCCGAACTTACAGCTTTTTTACTTGTTTTGTTTGAATTTTAAAAATTATTTTACATAAATTTCCAAGTAACTGGCGATTTTTTGAAAATCAATTGGAACCTAATTTCATATTTCAACTGCAAAAAATAAGGGGTTGGCAAGAAAAAAGTATTTAAATTTATTTAATTAAATGGAATTCGTTTCACCCCAAAAAATAATTTCCATCGAAATTTTATTTGAAGGCAAAATAGGGTTTGTTCAATATTTCATAAATAATTCCGCATCACAAAATATTACAATTCCCGTCGCCCAATTTAACAGTTCAATATATAAATATATATAATGGCATTTAGTTCGAACGACCTCTTTTGAATACCTACATATTGACACTTCAAATTTTCCTGGTTCAAATTCCAGTTTAGATTTTATGGTTCTATCTATATCTGTTTCCTTGTAATCTTAACAATCTGAACAAGGTTTTATATTAGGTATACTTTTTATACCCTCAGCCATATGGCTAGAGAGGATATATATCATTTTATAAGGTCAAAAATGTGACTCATCGAAATAACGGCTTTAGACCTTAGGTCTTTTTGAACCAAATCCGTTTCAGGACATTTGGAGTCGATCTAGAGATGTCCGTCCGTCCGTTCGCTTGTCTGACTGGTGCTCACGATAACTCTCGAAGGCAGTATCCGATTTGGTCCAAACTTGGTGCATCGCAATATTATTATCAAACTTAGATCTAGTTCGGAGATGGGCAATATCGGTCCACTCCTTCTGGTACCTCCCACACACAACGTCAAACTTTTAAAAAGTACTAATTTACTGCACAGGAAGAGAAAGGATAATCCAATTCGGCTCCAACTTTGCATATCCTAATTTTTGCATCAGTGCTAGGTCAGGTGCGAAAATATGGACAACATCGGTTCACACCTCCTTCACAAAGTGTTAAAAATTTCAATAATTACATCTCTAATAAAATCCGAAATAACGTTCTGGTTCTTTCTCATTTTCCAACATTTCAATATTTCTACTAACCCTAGATCTGGTATGAAGATGAAATATATCAGTCCACTTCTTCCGGTACCTCCCCCACAAAAGGTGGAAATTTTCAAAAATAGTATTTTACTGCACAGAAAAAGAAAGAATAATCCGATTCAGCTTTAACTTTACAATTCCTAATATTTACAACAGTGCTAGGCCAGGTGCAAAAATGAATCATATCCGTCCACTCTTACGAGTACCTCTTCCACAAAAGGTTGAAATTTTCAAAAAAAAAAAAAAAAATACTCTACTGCACAGAAAGAGGAAGGCAAATCCGATTTTGCTCAAACTTTGTGAATCCTAATATTTGCATTAGTGCTAGGTCAGGTGAGAAAATGGACAACGTCGGTTCACACCTCCCCCACAAAGTGTTAACATTTTGAATACTTACATCTCTCATAAAATGCGAAATAACGTTCTGGTACTTTCTCAACATTCCGACAGTCCAATATTTCTACTAACCCAAGGTCTGGTATGAAGATGGAATATATGGGTCCACTTCTTCCGGTACCTCCCCCACAAAAGGTGGAAATTTTCAAAAATAGTATTTTACTGCACAAAAAAAAAAAAAAATAATCCGATTTGGCTCCAACTTTGCAAATCCTAATATTTACAATAGTGCTAGGCCAGGTGCAAAAATGAATCATATCCGTCCACTCTTACGAGTACCTCTTCCACAAAAGGTTGAAATTTTCAAAAAAAAAAAAAAAAAAAAATACTCTACTGCACAGAAAGAGAAAGGAAAATCCGATTTTGCTAAAACTTGTGAATCCTAATATTTTTACCAGTGCTAGATCAGGTGCGAAAATAGACAATATCGGCCCACTCCATCAAGTGCCCATCCCCACAAAGAATCGAAAATTTGAATAATTATAACTCCAATAAAATGTGATGTGAAGATCCGCTTGTCTTTAAATTTCACACATCACAATATTTTTATAAGCCCAAGATCTGGTGTGAAGATGGGTTACAACGGTCCACTACCTCTGGTACCTCCCAAAGGGTCAACATTTTCAATATCCATGAAGCTCATATAACGCCAAATTAATATCCGATTACATTAAGACTTAGTACATCTCAATATTTCCATCAAAACAAGATCTGTCATAAAGATGGTAGAGATCGGACCATTTCTTCTTTACCCCCCCCCCCCCCCCCCCCCCCCACACAGGGTTCAAGATTTTGAAAAACAAGATGCTCCAAGAAAGCGAAAAAATCAACATATTTCCCTTATTAAAATAAAATCAAAATGCACGAGCGATAACTGGAAGTCCTAAAAAAATACTTAAAAGTCAAGGTTTTATGGACTTACAGTCCTTTAAAAATATTTCTTTAAAAATTAACTTTTTTGAGACTAGATGTCCTTCAAAGGAATTTATTAAAAATCGATTTATTTTTAAAAATCAAATTTTTAAGACTGGAAGTCCTTGAAAAAATTTTTAATAAAAATCTAACTAGTATTCCTGAGAAAGTTCTCCTTTAAAGTCCATATTTTATGGGATTAAAATCCTTTAAAAATTACTCCTTAAAAATATTCCAACGCCTCCCTCCATATGTAATGCCTAGAAACCGACAGTGACCTCAATATTAAATTTCAGCTCTATAAATTCCCCCATTAAGAAATTTAATAACATTTAGTACCCAAAACAGCTGCTTCTCTCAACCACCGACAGCAACAGTGAGATCCATATATAATTTAGGGATTCCAGCTGTATCCTTTCACCCAATAACAAACATATATTTATTTAGTACTTTTCGTACAATAATTGTACATATTTCCGAAAAAACCCCGCATCAATATCATATGCCAAGAGAGACCTCAATGTAATTTTGAGGATTCCAGCTTTATCTCTTTACCCAATATTCAATTTAGTACCACTTAGTATTTTTCAAACAATTATAGCTCCTATTTCTAAAACCACCCCCAAATCTCAACCGCAGACACCTACAGTGACATCTATATCAAATTTCAGGATTTCAGCTTTATTCCTTTAGCCAAAACCAAATTTAGTACTATTTAATGTTTTTCGTACCGTTTATGGACAGAAAGTCCTTTAAAAAAACTACTCTTTATGAGCTTAAAATCCTTAAGAATCCCTTAAAAAATCCACGCTTCATGGTATGACAGTCCCTTAAACAATTGTCCTTAAAGGCTGTTTGATTCATTGTCCATGGATATTATCATTGTCATTAAAAATCCACGATACATAATCCTTAAATATCCACATTAAAAAAAATCCACTTCTCCTTTAAAAATTATTTCGGAAAAAAATTATTCACAGTCCTTGAAAAATATTTTCAAAAAAAAAAAAACACAATTCATGGCTCTCACAAAAAATCCACATTTTATTAACTGACAGTCCTTAAAAAAAATCCAGCAAATCCAGGGTTCATGGTCCAAAAGTATTTGCAAAATCCTTACAGAAATCAAGTAGTTCTTCAAAATGTATTCTTAAAAAAATCTGAACTTGCCCTTGGAAAAAGAGTATTCTTTAATACAGCCCCTGTTTCCTGTTCTGACGATCCTTGAAAAAGTCCGGCTTAAAAATCCACAATTATAATCTTGGAAGTCCTTCAAAGAAATACCTTCAACTTCCATTCAACATAACCTAAAAATTTCCACAAAGCCACATAACAATATTACAACATCCCACGTTGCCTACTTTTAGGCATTAATGCCGACTATTACTTGCTAGTTCCTTGGTCATTGTTGCACGTCCAAATCATTAAAATTT